TATTCAATTACGCGACCATCATCGCGCGCGATACACTACTGTTTGTTTTTTTCTTTTTTCGCACGTGTAATGGAACAATCAACGTACCTGATCGAAAGAGTGCGCGTTTACGTTTGTTCGGATTAATTGTAAAGAAAAAAAAATCATTATTTCGGAGTCCTTCCGTGAAAGACGTGTAGTAGCTGTTGTTCGAGGAAGACGATCACGTGTTTTCACTGTCTTTTTATTATTGACAAAATAAATTCGCAATCGCGAGACAAAAGTCTTCTCTTCGCGGTTTTTTAATTTTTTAATTTTTTTTTTCGATAAATTCGGCTCTGCCGAACGAGAAACAATTATTTTCTCTCCTTGAACGGATAAAAGTTAAAAAAAGACAATCGTACGTTTTTTATTCTCGTTAAATATAGACGTGAGACACATTAGCTCGCGTTAAACTCCCAGAAATCCGAGTGTAATCGCATTAGCGCGCGGCTTAGAATTTTATCGGCGAACGGAATCTCGCGACGTTATTGTGCGGTTTTAAAAAAGATGGACAACGCGATCTGTCCCTAGACTAGAAAAAAAAACTTTATTACCGCGCGTACGGCGCCAATGTAATTATTGTACGTAGCCTCCAGCGCGCGTAGTCGAACGCTCGTCTAATCACAGACTGGTCGAAGGCCATGCGCGCGCGTTCTCGTCTATATTCGTTCAGCAATTTAATAAACAATCGCCGATAATATTCGAAAAAATAGTTATTTTAATATCCATCTTCATCTCGCGTGTTTGTGAATGACGATGACAACCCGCTGAACACACTTGACGCAATAATATGTACACACGACCGATTTAGCGCGCGCGCGCGCGCGGTGTGTGTGACTTAACCGATCGCCTCGCTAACGAAACTTACCTGGAAGAAGATAAGAGCGATTCGTCAATGTTAGCTATTAGTCAGTTATTGTTAAACCAAAGTAACCTCTATGCGCGGGCTTTCGTTCTCCGTCTTCCGTTCGCGCGGTTACGTAACACGATTGAGAAAGCTTTCATGTGCCTATCTGCACATATCGTCGCATGTGTCGCACAGAGATTACACAAATAATTTAATAAAAACATCGTGTATTTTTTTTCTCTCGCGCGAGTAAAAGTCTAACGAACAAATCACGTTTGTTCGAGAACTGACCCGGCTGTGTGTCTCTGGATGTGAAAGGGACTCTCAAGGGTGAGTGCCGGTTTTTTTTTTTTTTTTTTTGAAAAGTTATTTCAAACTTCAAATTTGCGATTTTTGGCGGAACATTATCAACGTGTCTCGTACTTCGGAATTTTTTGACGAGATTTTGTGTCGCTCTTTTTGCGATAAGAAAATAATCCGAGCGAAAATAGTGACCGCGATGTCGTCCGGCGAAATCGGATTTCGCGAATCGGCTTCTTCGGAAGGCCGAGCACGTGGATCGTACTCGTGCTCTGGATGCACTTCGCAACATACACACGCGCGTTGCTGCTGTTGTCTGACGGCATCGACGCGTCGAAAAAGCGTGTCAACATGTGCACGCACATATGTGCGCGCGCGTGCGCACATCACGCACTTGGTAGTTTCACTTTTCTTATCGAAACATGTGTATGTTCGCCGCTACACGCGGATATAAGGCGATGTGTGTGTGTGTGTGTGTGTGTGTTTCGCGCGTGCATCGCAGACACGCGTTTCAGGGAGGAAGACAGGAACTTTGTGCCTGTGTTAAAGAAATCGCGAGTATATATACGCACTTTCGCGTATCTTTTTTCACAGATTTATTTCTATACGCGTGTGATTATATTTTATAAATATACGCGGAGAGAATCGGAGAACTACGTACACTTGGACGTAGCTTTCCATATTCGAGCGCGCGGCCGTGATCTCAGGTTTCTATTCTTTGCAAAAAACAAACTGTATCACAAGTATATCTCCTGTTTTTCGTACTCGAAAAATTTATCGCGCGCGTCTTGCGACAGAGACAGATAGAGAAAGAGAGAGATATATATATATATGTATATATATATATATATTTGAACTGGAATTTTCAATCGGAGCGTGTAGCATCATCAAGGTCGGGAACGATATCGCGAGTTCATAGGTCGCCTCGCGAGTTAACTCAGAAACTCGGCTCGTTAGTCGAAGATACGCTTCGGTATCGACAAGATTGCAGACAAGATTTACGTCACGAAAAACCAGCCAGTGTTCTCGAGAAAGATCTTCGCGAATAGTTCCACGCATCATGATAAATGCACATGCTAATGAAACGCGTCAAACACATCGGTAATGCAGTAGTAAACAAATATTCATCGAACAAAATCACAATCTGCAATTTAAAAACAATCTTAAATCGATTAAAAATGATAATGTCTCGCTACAGAATTATTCCGCGAGTGTTTTTTACGAGAACATTTACAAATAAGATTTATGACAATTTATTTTTGGATGATATTTTCGAATCGGGAAGTGATCTATAGACTTGTTGCACAACTTGCTCCTTTATTTAAGCATCTCTATAAACTATTGATTCGCACACAAAACACGCAAAATAATTAATATCTTCGGTTTTCTTGTAGTTTGTATACTTTTTTTTTGTTTTTGTTATATTCTGAATGACGATATAAACTGAACTAAATCAAATATAAATGTCTCACATAACAAACTGATTGCGTCAGTTTTTGTTCGCGCGATTACACGCGACGGTAATAATAAGATGACGCTATATCCTTTAGGACTAGGAGAGGCCGGGTTTGACCCATCCCTCACATTGTGCATCCGAAAATGCGACTCCGATCTATTGTACTCGATGACAATACAACGCGCATCGCGCGGACATGACTATTTCGATTAGCTCCAGCGCTATCGTTAAAAAAAAAAAAAAAAAAACATTCGAATTTTAAATAAAATATCGAATTGTACAAGTTTTTTTTTATTTTTCGTGTGCGTTTTGTTTTTCGTTAAAATCAAAAACTTGATTTTTTTCAACAAACGTCGCGGATTGACAGCTGCAAGTGCGCGGTGTTAAACGGCAATTTATACGTGACGAAGTAAGTGAAAGACTGTGAGATGTCCGGAGCAAATTCACGGAGAGTGAAATCGCGAGACTCGAGATAAAGATAAGAAAAAACATCTGTCGGAGCGCATTGTACAACTTCCTCGCGTTTCAAATTGAAACTCGAAAACGGAAATGTCTTGTTTTGAAACTCGAATTTATTTCTTCGACAGCGAGAGATTTATATTGTATAGATAAAAAAAAAAAAAAAACTTTATTCCGCGGAGGAAATAGTTTCGAGGAGAGTTCGCAATTAAAAGAGCTCGAAATGTTACTTTCGTTTCCATAATAATCAGACCACTCTCAGTCTCTCTCGAAAAGAAAGTGTCACAGATTTATTTATTTATTTATTTTTTTAATCGCAGAGTTTAAATTTCCGGTGATGAAAAAAAAACTCGTGTGATGAATTATTAATCGCGCAAGAAAGGTCGCTTTCCACTGAATAATAAAATATTCTTTCGCGCACAATGTCAGTTAAAAAAAAACAAAAAAAACAAAAAACGAAAACCTGCAGAAGGCAAATACTTCGCCACTTATTGGTCTCTTCCTGTTTTTTTTTTCGTTGGTTTTTTTCCTGACCGTATATTTAAATATTTTATCTATTTTTGTGCGAGCAAATTTGTTTTGCGTTCGTCTCATTTAAATAATGAATACAGAAATAGATCATTTTGCGTACGTATAAATGAAAATAGAGGTGTACAAAACGTTTCGTTGTCCAGTTTCAAATTGTGACTCAAAAGACAGACAAATAAAAATAGGTAACACAATAAATGTTTCTACGGAAACTCTACTTATCTTGACAAAGAAAGATGAATGTAACGAGAAAAAGAGAGAAAGAAAGAGAGAGAGAGAGAGAGAGAGGAAGAACGCGCGAACGCGAGCAGAAGCGAAACGAGCTGAGGACGTGGGAGGATGTAAATGCGAAGAACCTTGAGTCGAATCCGCCGTAACTAGGATAGGTGCATAGGTGAATTCACACGTCTACATACATGGAGAGACGATGATTCATTCACGATCCATGTTCGATTAAAACCCGACCCGCCTAGTTAACGGATATGTTTCGCGATGCAGGCAAAAGATGAGACAGCAAAAATGAAACGGACAGACGCGCTTGTGCCGAAGAAACTACGATGCGCCATTCTCTTTTCGGCGCTACAAAGTCTCGCGAAGAAATTAGCGAAAACAATTTTTTGTTTTTGTTTTTGTTTTTTTCCAACATATTTTATAAGACTGAAGTCTTAAATCAACCAAGTAATTTACGGTTTATTTTTCTTCATCGAGCGCGAAACAAATGATTAACTGCGATATCTTTTTTTAAAATTATCTTCTTAGATGATATATTTTCGCGTTTTGCACGTGACATTTGTTTTGTTTTGTTTTTTTTCTCAACAGAGAGATTTGAACCTTCGAAATTATCCTATCGTCGAGATGTGTGTCATTATTCGTATAAATAAAGCGTGTTCGAAATTATATCATCGGCGAGAGTAAATAAACACGCGTTGTGCAACGTTTTTTTTTTTTTTAGTGTCGCTCGAGCGTCGTGCGGTAGTAGTTGCAGATCGAATGTAGGCTGGCTAACGTAAGCAACAGGTGGGCGTTTCTACTGAACGACGAGTTCTCCTTCTCTCCGCCGCCGCTAATGCGTCTATATAGACAATTTTCCAAGTGCCGTGCACGCGTATACCGCTCTCGCTACTTGGTGCACGTCGTTTTAGCTACGAGAGATCCCCACGTTTATTTTCTCGCCCGCACCACGAGCAAGACGAGGTCTATTAAAGCGCGTGTGTCGCGCGAGTCGATGCGGAAAATGACGGAGAAGGTTGTTTCAACTTGGTTTTCGAGTAATGTAAAAGCTTCCCGCTTTTTAGAAACCAAAACAAAAAAAGACGGCTTATCTCTTCGTTTGGTTTTCCGACGCAATGGGGAGGGGGGGTAGGGGGTGGGAGGGAGCGCGGTGCCTACCGTTCATGTAAACATGATGCTGCCGCCACAGATGCTGGTACTGGGACCATCTCGAGCTGGTGCTGTCGTCGTGAATGGACGGGAGCGGGGGATGCACCTGGTGATTGTGGGAGGTCGGTGGCAGGGGCGGCGGCGGCGGTTGCTGGGACTGGGGCTGCTGGTGTGCCGGCGCGACGACGATGTGCGGATGCTGCGGCGGCTGCACCGATTGCTGTTGCTGCTGCTGCTGCTGTTGATGCTGGGGCGGTTGCGGATGGTGCGCCTGGGTGTGCAACACTCCGGCCGGTATCGGTGGCGGTGCCAATTGCTGATATTCCATGGCAGCGCAGCTCATCCGATTACCTCACGCGTGCATTTAATTTACTCTATCCGCGATTCCCTCTCCGCGGTTTTCTTCTCCGCGCGCGGCGCGGATTAAACGAGAGTCCTCCTTCTCCCTCCTCCTCGAGATTTTCCTTTCACTCGTGTCGGAACGAACGACACGCTCGCATCGGCGACAGGTGTCTCGTGAATATTGATGTATGTATTTTATCGGAGAAGCGAGAGGGAAAAATCACACGGATTTTGTCGCGGCTGATTGATCACCGAGGCAGTCCGCCTGTTTCCCGAATATGTTTCGACGAAGCGAGCGCGCGTTTTTAAAAAAACGTTGCAATTGCGTTGCGTTATATCATTTTACGAAATGCGCCGTGGAGGCGCGCGCGTCTTCTCTTCTCGGTGCGGGAAATGTTCGGGATAGAGAGAGAGTCTATTTTACGGAAGAAGCCGCGGAATTTTCCGCGAATGCTCGCTCGAGGATCGAGTTTTATACTCTCGCGAGTTCACCTCTCGAGGCCTGTGTGCGCGTCTCTCTCTCGACAGATCGTCCACGTGATCGCTTATATATATCGTTATTCTCGTCCGCCAGCGGACTCGACACGGAAAGAAAAAAACCTTTCTGTATTACGCACTCACTCATTAGTTCGCAAACAATCGCGCGACAAGAAAACGATCCACTTAAAATATAAAAAAATCCGAAATCCAAAAACAGAACTGAAGGGTGAGTAGAAAAAAAAAAAAAGCACACTTTCGCGCGCGGAACCGACTCTGTGAGACTGTGACGGACGCTCGCGAACTCGCGAGATGACAACCGGCAGGGGGATCCGGTGGGCACTGTGCTCTTGAGTTCGCGAGTATCGCGAGTATCGCGGGGTAGTAATTCAGAGTCGAATCAGGTGGGGTATATACAGCGCGCGATTAAACCGCGAGCGCTGGGAGTAGCACACGACTGTCGACTGTCAAAATCGCCGCTCGTCAGCGTCTATCCGTCGGCGCCGTGTGCCGATTGGAGCGCCGTCGTTGCCGGAAGCGGCGTTCCTATTGGTCCCGCTCCGTGCCCGGCGCGAGAGGGGGCAGGGCACGGGAACGATGTGCCTCGTCGTCGTCCTGGAGGTGAGAGACAGCACGAGGAAGGACGGAGCGAGGAAGACGGAGGTACGGAGCGCCCGGACGCCCCGACTCCCCCGGGTGACAGACACGGGGAAGGCGGCACACAGGGTAGGGGTGATAGAGAGGGAGAGAGAAGAAGATAGGAAGAGATCGGAGAGAGAGAGAGAGAGAGAGAGAAAAAGAGAGCGAGAGGGGGAAGAGAGAGAGAGAGAAAGAGAGAGGGAAAACTCGGCGTGCGTATCTCAAACGTGTGGCGTCCGGAAAGACACTGAAGTCGCAAAGCGCCACGCCGTTTCGCGCGCCCGCTTCGAGAGACTCTCTCTCTTTTTCCCTCTTTGTTTTTCCCCCGTCTCGATGTTTTTCTCCGTCTCGCTCTCGCTTCGCCCCAACATCCGCTTTTTCCCGCCCCCACCTCCCACTACACATCTGAAACCTGACCCCACTTCGCTTCGCGAAGCGCGAGGCGCGCACATCGCTATGCGCTTGCCTGCGGTTTCTTCCTTCTCCGCGTCTCGACGACGTCTTTCTCCTTCTTGCGCGCGAGCGCAAGACGAGAAAGAGAGAGAGAGAGACACACACACACACACACAGAGCCAGAGCTCTCTTTATCTATCGTCGTCCCAGTCCAGTCTCTAGGATCCGGACTTGAGTCGTCTTTCTCTTCCCTCCTGGAGAACGTTCCTCTCATCTACCTGCCCCGGCCTGCCTCGCGCTCCGGCTGATCGCGCCGCACTTTTTCACTCGTGTCTGCGGCTTGCCTTCCGTCTCTACTTATTTTATCGCTTCTCTCGACATACATGTTACGACCGAGGCTCTCGAGCACCAACATGAGAAACTTTTACTCTCGATTCCGTTGCCGCGCTTTTGGTTTTTTTTGTTTTTTTTTTTTGTTTTTGCCTCACTGACAATTTTAATTGCGCCGCGATTCGATCGTGTTTCCAACATCATCATCCGAGGAGATGATATCCGCGTGTATCTTTTTCTCATTTTTTTCTTCTCCGCGATCTACGATTTTAAATCGCGAGCTCGCGCGGCAAGGCGAGATATTATGCTTCGAAATCCGCGATTATTCAACAGTAAACATCGATCTCGCCTCTGTAGCTTCGATGTCACTCTCTCATCTGTGTGTCTGCAAACGAAGAGAGAGAGAGAGATAGAAAGAGAGAGAGAGAGAGAGAGAGAGAGAGAGAGAGAGAGAAAGATGAATAAGCTGTGTTTGCTCCCCTCTCCGAGTAAAATGCACCTCTCTCTTATACCGGAGGCTGAAACACTATCTCCTTGTCATTTTCTCTCTTTCTCTCTCTCTCTCTTTCTCTCTCTCTTTCTCTCGAGAGAGAGACCGAGGTATTTCGCCACTTTCGATTTTACCCGGTAAAGCCACGAACGCGCCTCGTTATCGTTAATTTCACGGCTTAGCTAATTAATACACGCTTCAGGAAGTGTGTCACTCAGGAAAGAGGAGAACGGTCGACTTGCCTACTTCGAAGAAAGCGTATGTAAATGTCGTCGACGGAAATGAAAAATCAAATTTTTTTTTTTTATTACACGTTTGTGATCTCTCGCACACGCCGCCCCGCCTCGATATAATCGTATAATCGTTTGAAACGACTTGTTGTTAGAAAAAATAAAAAAACAGAGTTAACAAAACAGTTAAGTCACAAAACATATAACGGACTCTGTAGTTTAATAGAACAAAGTGTACGCATTTGCATTTGTGAAGTATCATCTGTGATTTATGCCGCAAACCGAGGAAAAAAAAAATCCTTTGAGAAGATCAATACTAGCAGCAGCTAGTGAATATTCAACTTTAATAATACATGTTGCGCGAGCGAAGACAAAGATGCTTTGGAAGGAAGCGGCCATTATAATCCGCGAAAGCGTGTCTCTCTCACTTTGGGTCAGGGCCATCAGGGCCCCCGACGATCCGACGTGGGTAGGGCGTCCAAAAAGGATATCCCGCTATCTCCGTCCCACCTTCGGTCAACGCGGAAGCGTCGTCGGTTCTGTAGTTCTGCGAACAATGACGATAAAAACAAAAGAGAGAGAGAGAGAGAGAGACGAACGATTCGAAAAAAAATTATAATATGAAAGATGCGTTCTCATCGTGGAGATGGCGGCGTTAATTAATTATCGAGATTTTGAGGAAGCGCCTTGTATCACAAGACTCTTGACAGTTTTGTTCTCAAACTTTGTTTGAGACAACAATATCTCGCTCCAAAGAAGCGGCGTTACATTTCCTGTTGATACACTTTACTCGCTTCCGTGTAGAAAGAGCGAGAATTCGAAATGGAACGATTGAAAAAAAAAAAAAAATGTTCTTAGAGTTTTTTACTTTTGTTTCTTACACACACAGAGATAGAGTCTATGTGTGTCGATCAATTATGTGTATATATTGATTACAGTTGTTCTTATTTAAAACCGCACGAGGGGGGAGAAAAAAAGAGAGTGCGGGAGGGTTCCACATAAGTTACGTGGAGTGGAGGCACGAGGTTGAATCACCGAAACCGGTCCTGTTGTGCGAACGCGGAAACCACGACGGAGAGACCGGCGGACTCTCGCGCGAGTCGCGCGCGGAAGGATTCCTTTCTCCTCTTCGCTTCAGTGGTAGCTTCTTTTTGCGCTTCTTTGCCTCGTTTTTAGTTGCCTCTCTCTTTTAGCCGTTCTTCCTCTCTCTTTGTGTTTTTTTTTCTCCTCAAAGACATTTATTTATTTGAATACGAAGAGAGAGAGAGAGAGAGAAAGAGAGAAAGAGAAAGTCTCATTTAGTATCGCAAGTTTACGATTGAATCCTTCCTTCACGATTAAAGCGCATATTAGTATACTTCTTAATGATCCGAAGATTACGTCTTCAAGGTCGCGCTCAGGCTTATGACAGAACTATTATTAAGTTTAGAACTGCAAGTTTCGCGAGTTGTGACTTGACACTTCTCTCTCATCGTCCGCGATCGAGGTTTTTTATTCGTTGTAACAATCAGCTATATACGTATCGGCTCTGATCGATTTCTCAGTTGTTTCTTTTCATTCCGGTTGCTCGGGGAGGGATTTGAGATTTTGTCGTAGATTTTTTGTTTCACGAAACAAAAATGTTTTGTGTTTGCGCTTTTGTGTTGAGACAGACTGTCAATTCGCGCGAGACGGAGAAAGGAGAAGGAGAGGTCTTGATTTTTGTCGAGCAAACCCGATGGCAGCTTTCTGACTAAAGGTCGATCGGGAAACGAGAATCGAGCAACCTGTTGATCCTTATGGGACCCTTTCACTCGCATCCCCGTGCTGGAAGGAGGGCAGACGACGATTTATCGACGCATTTCGTAATATTCGCGTTTGAAAAACCAACGCTTTCGTTTTTTTTTTTTCTTCCGTTTGTCAAATCAAACTCGTCGACGCACGCGGAGAGAAAGAGAGAGAGATGCGCCGAGATCGCGCGCGGAATGTAATCGATGAGATTCTTTTTTACGATAACAGATTTCGCAATCCCGGTGTGTGAAACATCGGCCGAATCCGAATGTCCGGAACCGGTCATTCTTTAAGGACCGGGCCAGACGTGAAAACGAAACTTTCGGCGCGGCTCACTTTCTCCTAGGCGCGCGCGCATTTCCCCTCTTCTTCCCGGTCGTGTTGTTGCAAAATCTCAAACGTGAGCCTTTTACCCTCTTTCGTGTTTGCTACGTTTTTTCCCAAAGAAGAAACGGTCGTCTCTCTCTTTCGCTTTTTTTCGTTTACAATAAATCAACTGCGGAAAGCGGAACGAGCCGCCGCCGCAGAAAGACACGCGTTCTTGCTCTCAGCATTCGGTGAATTTACACACACACTTCGACTATCACTCTGACAATGTCTCCCCTTCTCTCCATAACGTTTGTTAACATTCAATGATTTATTGTGAATTAACAATGTTTCGAAAGCTCGGAAGAAAATCAAAGTTGAAAATATACCTAAAACAATAGCTAAAGTAATTATAAAACAAAAAACCAGAGAGAAACCTCTGTGGTCCAGGTTGAAGGTGAATGCGTGTGTAATGCATGTTCTTTCTATCTAACGGATTTTGATTTTGATTTTTACAATTTTTATAATTTTCACATTATTGTTTACTAATGCAAACAACGATGAAGATGATAAACAATAAAAATTGATCGAAACGTCCGGAATACACCGCGTTTTATGTTACATTTAAACGTTCATCTTCAACCTAGGCCGCAAGCTCTCAAGGATTTTTGTTTTATAATTGTTTCATCTCGAGCCGTTATTGATATTAATTATGATTGAAGTAAAATTTAGACGTCTTTTAGGTATCTTTCGACGTTTTTCGAATTTTTGTGCTGTCTGGATGCACACTGCTGCACGGAGAATTCTCAGAATTGTCTGTATTTTCATATACTAACTGTAGAAAGATTAGATTAGATAATATAAAGTATGTGGGGTTAGAGAAGCCCCTATGTGTCACCTAGATCTTTTGAAGATAGGAAAACGTCATGAAAAACTCATGCATGCAAGGAACAAAACATTGTTCTTCATCACTTTCTCGAATTACGACGGGTCGTCAAAAATGGATGGAAACATGTGGTTGTGATAGTGATCAAACACGACCATTTTCTATCATCTTTCTTTAACAATCGTGCGATATCTGTTTTTCTTTTCTCTCTGTCTCTCTTATTTCTATCTCTCTTGATTCAGACATTGATAATTGTGTACGAGTTATACTCGTATACCGTCACACGCTTACACAAATTCGAGATTTACACTCTGTATCTGTTTGTGTGTGTTCATGATCATTGATATTCGCGGCCCCCGTGATAAGCATGTGTCTCCTGTAACGCGTTTTCGCTTTTTATTAATTCGCAATTCCATAATTAATTCATTTTGCAATTTATAAGTTTTATCCTCTCTCATCCAA